CCCCGCCCCTCTCCCCTCCATATGATGGATAAGATATGGGGCACGAGCCAGCAGGGGTGACCAGAGGCCTGCTCCCCAACGGCTGGACACCACTTCTCCCTCACCATCACCTGGCTCCGGACCAACCATCCCCATCCAAAAAGCAACAGGGAACAGGACTCCCGGGCAGCCCTGCCCACCAAGCCCAGCCTCGGACTCGGGGCCGCCAAACTGACCTGACGCCTGGCGACCATGCGGGTCAGGGTAGAACTGTCCTCCGTGGGGTTCCCAGGACTGCAACCTTTTTGAAAACCAGGCTGCCAGGCCCTGATTCCCAGGTGCATCTGGGCGTGTTTGCACAGCCGGCCCTCCGGGTCAGTGGCTGAGTGTGTAATCAGGGGTGGCCCCAAGCCAACCCACACCCACTGCCACGGGTGGCCTCTGGGTCTCTGCGATCCCAACCTGTGAGTTTTGGAGACTGTAACTGCTCATGGGAGCAGAGAGCCCCACCCCGGGAATCCATCCTCAGGGAAGGCTGCTTCCAAGCACCCAGAACTGGCGGGGCTGGGGGGTGGGGGGCAAGGGTCTCGCTGGACCCAGCACATTGCACCAGAAGAAAGGGCAGGAGGCCGGGCCGTGGAGGCCGAGGCTGCGCCGTGAGGTATTTTTTGCCACAGCACCGCCTCTCAGTCAGTGGCCAGGCCTCCCCCTGTGCTGCCCAGCTGGCCGGCTCTGCCCTCATGGGAACCGCAGAGAGGGGCTCTGAACCACCGACTGAGTGAGAGGGTGTCACTGGCTGTCCCCCACCCCATCCTCTGGAGGGATGTGGCCAGCTCGAGGGGCCCCCAGAGCTCAAATACCAAGGCTCGGTGGGTTAGATGCAGCCCCCCAGCAGCGAGACAGTGCAGAGCATGACCGAGGGTGGAGGGCGGCCTGGGGTGGGGCCTGTGGCCACTCCTGGCCTAGGGGCTTGAGTCCACTCGGCAGCTGGCACCTCAGTGGACTTTCCTGGTAGGACCGGCAGTCTGACTCACATGTGGTGACCGGTCGGCTGGGCCTTGTTCATTTGCGCAGGGACGCGTGGCTGTGAAGAGATGCCATCAAGACACGCAGGGCCCAGAGAAACTCGAGGCGCTGGGCGGGGTGCCCCCAGAGGTGGGGTGGCTATGCACTCTGGTGGTCTCCCCAGGCTCTGGAGGACCTGTCCCTGGGTCACAGGGGTCAGGGCCCAGGCTGAGGCAGTTGGAGCTGCTGTTGGCACATAAGCGGTCAAGCCCTGGGGCAGGGAGGGACCGGAGCACATGGGCAGCGGCCCTCAGGGAGGAGGTCTGCGAGCACCGCTTCCTGCCCCAGGGCACGCCCAGGGCGGCTCCTTAGAGCCGAGGGTAGGCTTGGGCCCCTCCAGGGGCCACTGGCTTCTTCCCACTGTGTCCTCCCAGGGTTGCCTTGAGAGCTTGGGGTGCTTGGTCCTGGTCAGCCTGGGGTCTGGGGCCATCTGTGTGGCTGCAGGGCCCAGTACAGAGTCACCCCCAGGAAGCAGTCTTGGTGGCGTCTCCTGGAGAGGCGTCAGGAGGGAGGGAGTGGGTAGGCATCTCCAGGTGACTGGTCATTACGCAGACAGGTTAGGGCGCTACAGCACACGCAGATTAGTGGTGGTTATGAACAAGGCCCCAGGGGGCTGGGGTGTCACGTCAGGCAAGCTGATGATGGAGATCGAAACTGCTCCAAGGTCCAGAGCCTTCCAGACGAGGCCACAGCCGGGGGGCTGGGAGGGAGGGCCGCGGGCTCCGTCTGGGGCAGGGACAGGTGGGGAGGACGGTGGCCGCAGGCAGCCCCGACCGGGCAAGTTCAGTCGTCTGGCAAGCGGCTCCTCAGGACTGCGGGATCTGCGGGCAGCGGGTGGGGCTGGGCGGGAGTCTGGCCGCAGCGCTCTGCTCCGTGCGGAAGCTGTACTCGTACTGTGGGGGGAACACACAGACGCACAGTCAGTGCATGTGCGCCGGAGAGACCCCAACAGGCCTCAGGCCGAGACAGGTGCTGTCCACCTTCATGCGGCCACTGTGAGTGTGGAGGTGTGGTCCAGCCCTGGAGTCTGGGACAGTGGCAACTCTCATGGTGCCTGCTGATGCCCACGGGCATGGTGCCAGCATGTGACGAACAGCCTCCTGGATCACACGGCTAACAAGCAGCAGGTCTGGGGCTCCACCCTCAACCTGGCTGGAAGCTGGCCCTTGGCCACAAAGCTTAAGGGACCTCTCCTTCTGTCGCCTGGCGTGGCCCAGCTAACTCGGCGTTCCTTGGGCAGACTGTGGCAGGCACCGGGGGTGCCCTGAGGACACCCCACAGCTAGGAGCACGAGTAGGTGTCCCTGGCCAGCCCTGGCCTTGTCAGGAACCCAGCAGGAGCCTGACCCTCACGCTTAGGAACCGGGCTCACCTGACTCTGACCCCGAGGAGGCAGGCTCCAGGTGCGACAGGGATGCAGAGAAGGGGCAGGCACTGGGATGGTGGTGATGGTGGTAGTGGTGGTGGTGGTGTGTGTGTGCGCGGCTATGCTTTTTCTGGGTGGTCAGGTGGGATCTCACCACTCAGTGTGGGCAGGTGCATTCCTGGCCAAAGAGTGGGTGCGGGCAACAGTGAGGCCCAGCCAGCCCTGGCACAGAGGGCCTGGAGGCTGGAGGCGTGTGAGAAATGGCCTGTGTGGGCTCCCCGCCAAAGCAGTCCTGTGGTTACTGGGGTTTGAGGAGTGCGGGGCTTGGATCAGGCCCGTGGTCTTCACACTTCGGAAGCAATGGGAAGAAGCGGGTGGGCTCACAGTCTCAGAAGACACCAAGGACATCATTCAGAGATGGTGTCTGTGCTACATCTGGCTTTGGTGAACGGCCACTGCAGCTTAGAGACTCAGGACTGGCCATCTGAGGTTCCGTGACCTACTGGTGTGCCCTGCCCGAAGAAGAGTGATGCTAGTCAAGAGACCCGTGGGCACAGTGAGTCCAAAGGACCAACAGATCACCAAGCAACAGTCTCCACCACCCTGAGACCAGATGAACTAGATGGTGCCTGGCTCCCACCACCAAGTTGTTTGAGAAGAAGCACATTAGAAGGTCCTGCACAGAGTGGGAGGAAGATGTGGGACAGAACTCAACATCCTAAAAGAGACCAGGCTGACTGGTCAGATAGAGACTGGTAGACCTCCTACCCCCCCTCCTCAAGAAAGACTATGATCCTCTCTCATCCTTCAGGTCTAGAACCACACACACACACTCCCCCCAGGTAGCTCCCATTTCAGCCACACAATAAGAGGACCAATAACATTCAGGAGATACACGCACCTCAGAATAACCAGGACAAACTCAGCAGGGTTAGGAGAGAAGGCGGGAGGGGTTAGTAAGTGATGGTTCATAGAGGGGATTAACAGACACACGGGGGTGGGGGTGGTGGGGGGGTGATGTAGGAACTGTTGAACGCAAAACCGACGAGCCGCTCTCTATACGGCCACCCAATTCACAACAAAACATGAAACACAACAGAAACACGTCTCCCAGGGACCACACATGAAACAGATGGCAGCGGAGCGGCCCCACGGCACGCCAGCAGGCCGGCAGCAGGAGAGAGTGGTATCCCAGGAACTCACCCACGGCGGCTGTGGGTGCTCTGCCCACCTCCTCCCCGGAGGCTCCTCCTGGCCACCACAAGTGAGCTGCGGGCTGCAGGCAGCAGTGGGCCAGGTGAGCAGGGGAGTCACGCTGAGCAGCCAGGGCCCAAAGCAGGGAATCCATGCCATTTGAGGAGGAGGCAGGGTAGCTGGGGAGCTCCCAGGGGTCGTTCTCCTAACGAGGAGAGGGCAGGGTCCGGGCAGCAGACTGTCCATGCCCAGTGCTACAGCCTGCCTACCTCCCCTGAGAGTCCCCAGGGCAGACCTGGGACAGACAGACTGTCCTCTGCTGGGCTCCTGGCTGGCCCATCTGTGTGTGAGCAGTGGGGTGGGCAGCCTCATGGGGTCTTGTCCTGCACACACTGGAGGTGCAGGGCCAGGGGGTGCTGGGCAGGGGGAGGGAGGACGCTGGCTCCAGGTGCCCCTGCCTGGCATCTGAGTGGTCTGTGAGAGGGGAAGGGCTTGATGTCCCTGGATGATCTCCAGCAGGCCTTTCTTCCTCTGAACCCCAGTGAATTCTAAAACGAAATGGTGGTCTTTACTTCCAGTGGGAGGTGGGGGTGGTGGTGCTGTGAGGAGGGGCTGGGGTAAGGTGTGTTAAGGATGATTCTCCCCTGACCTGGCATCAAGCACTCAATGAATTTGTCACATGCAGCGCAGACCAAGAGAGGTCTGGGCAAAACCTGGGGCAATGCTGCCACCTCGTGGCTACCTGGGTATGTGCAGGCAGGTTAGGGGCAAATCCGCTCCCTCCTAGGCTTTATCCGTACTGGCTGTGGCAGGGACCCCCACCAGCCGGCTTCCCAGGCCTCACAGGCTGTTGGGAGAGGGACAGGCAAAGACCCCCTCTGCAGCCGGCTGCTCCACAGTCGGGACAGAGCGAGCAGCTGGAGAAGCAGCCTCTTGGGCATTAGGGGAGCCTGACTGAGCGGCAGAACAGGCCAGCAGTGTAGAGGCACCCAGAGAGAGAGCAGGCTCTGTGAGCAGACAGACCTGAGCAGGCACACAGCTCTGTGTGTGTGTGATCTTGCTGACCACTGGCTTTCAGCCTTGCTTGGGCGAGGGTACCACTCATGATGGCAAAGCTGAGGCCTTTCCAGCACTCCATTCCAGCCCGCACCCCCCTCATGCCCCCTCCCACCCCCCCAGCCCCCAGCCAAGAGCCAAAGCCCATCTGGGGTAGATTTGAGGAGGAGGATCTCCACACTGTAGCACAAAGCTCCCTGGGGGAGCACCTGGGTTCTCGAAGCCAGGGCAGGGGTGGGTGGGGTGGGGGGTGGGGCGGGTAGGGCCCAGTGTGCTCTACAAACAGAAGGGGAACAGCAGAGGCCCCCTGTGTGCATGGCGACAACCCAGCGGGTAGTTAGACCATCAACCCCCACGAGAGCCCAGGGGGTGTGGGATCAGGGGAGTTGGTGGCAGGGAGAAGCACACAGGGTCACAAGATAGGTAGGAAGGGGGCCACTGCGCGGTGTGGCCCAGGGATGGCAAGGAGGTGGCTGTGGGAGACAGCACAGACCTTGGGCCTGAGCGCCCCAAACACCTGGAGGCAGTGTCAGGGGCGGCTCTGGGGGGTGGGAGTTGGAGGGAGGTGGTAAGGCAGGCCTGGTGAGGGTCATGGGGCTGCTCTTCAGGGGCGACAGCCAGGGAGAAAGCTGCTGCTCAGCCTCTGACGGGAACATGGGGCTTGTGGGCGATTGGGCCCGCAGCTCGGGTGTTGGGGGTGAGGGGTGGAAGGGACTGAGGCTCTGCATTTTCTCTCAGCTCCAGCTGACCTGCGCACTGAGTCCCAGGACCAGCGAAGGGATGTGGACATTGGCCGAGAGCAGTCACGAGACCACGTGAAAGTGGGCTTGGGGGCTGATGCGGGGAGAAAGGAGATTGGGGCTCTGCTAGGGAAGCAGGCTGGAGATGGGGGCTGGGGAGCTCCATACTAGATGTGGGGGACACCTGGGCAGTCAGCTGGGAAAAGGCCAGTGTTGACCGCCAACGGTGGCGGTGCCCAGTATGGGGGTGGGGGGCAGCTCTCGGCTGTGGTCCCCTCTGCTACAGGGTGGCCCTGGAAGAGGACACTAGGCTTTGGGGTGGGAAGCAGGGCGAGGTGAGACTGGGCAGGCAGCGAGCTGGCTGGAGCCAACGTGCCTCTGAGACAGGAGCTTTTGTGGGCAGGCACTGGGACAGGGCACCTGCAGGGCTGGGAAGCTGCGAACACATTTGCCTTCCCCTGTTGCCGCCCAAGCACCCCAGGGCTGCGGAGACCAGGCCCACCCCTGTCCCAGTGTGCGCTGCTTTCTCGGGGTTTTTCTCCTTCTTAGGTTCTCAGGAGGCTGGAGCAAGGCCCGCCTTTTGTCTCCCCTAACTCCCCACATGCAATTTCCATCTGTGTCCCCCGACATAATCCCCCTTAGGCCCAGGCTCACCCTTCCCACAGATGCCGTCCTCTGCCTGCGATTGCTTGTCCCTGAAGTGTTTGCCCAAGGGACTCCGGCTCCTTCTGGTTGCCCTCTCACCCCCTTGGGCAAACAGTCAGCACCTTTGAAGGTGGATTTGGATCCAGATATCTGTTTACTCAAGACATTAGCCTCCTGCATAAGGAAAACCCGCACTCGAGTACAAACAGCAAATCCTTTTTGAATTAAAAATTTTTTCAATTAAAAAGCATTTGGGTTCACTTCGCAGAGCTGAGCCCAGCGGAGCAGCGCTGTGCCGGGCGCCCTCTGGTGGGCGCAGGTCGCCACTGCAGCCACTTGGAAGCCCCAGGCCTCAGCAGGAAAGAGACTTCATTGTCAGGGGCTTTGCTTCGGGTGGGAGGTGGGGCTCAAACCTGAGTGTTGAGAGTCCGGCTGCCACAAGCCTTCTGCACGACTAGGCGGGCTTCCAGTGCCTCGGAGATGCAGTCTTGTGGGCCAAAAGGGAGCCACGGACCCTGCCTGGTCTACCAAGAAGCAGCCATGACCATTCCTGAAAAGGCGCCTTGCCAGTCCGGGCGGCAAGCAGGGAACCTGGTGCCCGAGCCCCACCTGGGAGGTGGCTGGTGCTTCAACGGCACCGGGGTGGCAAGCATTAGCCCGTTTGCAAAGCATCTCAGGTGATTTTAGCGCTTCGGCAGCATGGAGAATCACCGTCGGATTGAAAACCTTTCACTAACTACACACCGTAGCTTCAAAAACGTTGGGGAGCAGCGGAATGACCCGCGATTCCCCTTGGGGAATTCAAATCCAGACTCTGAAGCCCCTTGGTGGCCGAGTGGGGTGGGTGCTGAGCTGTCAACCTCAGGTTGGTGGTTCTGCGCTGAGGGAGGGAG